GTGATGGCGGGGCGCTGGTGATGAGGGAGGTAATGGCGGGGCGCTGGTGATGAGGGAGGTAATGGCGGGGCGCTGAAGATGAAGAAGGTGATGGCGAGGCGCTGGTGATCAGGGAAGTGATGGCGGGGCGCTGGTGATGAGGGAGGTGATGACTGAGGCGCAATGTTATGCATCCAAATTGCCAGCATGCAGGAGCTGAGAATTAAAGGATCCTGCTGAGTTTAATATATCAACAAATATTATATTATAGATAACATTTTAACAAAACGCCCTCTAAAGAGCGCGCGAGAGCGCGCGAAGCAACGCAGTATTAGCCGCACCAACCATTAAATCTACGCATCTTGTGCTAGAAACATGTTTCCTCATCGTCGACAAGGACAAACCAATTTGTCAATACAAACATATGACATACCTGACATCGTAACTATAGTTTGTTGAATACAAGACATCCTATAAATTGCTGAAGGCAGGTATATCAGTCATCTGTAAGGATTTACACAGTCGAGTTCGGATGCAAATGTTTATTTAATTAATGAATTCAGAACAAGTAAAATTGGCTGGAAACCGCAACGGCGCTTTCAGTAATAGCCAAGATGTTTCGTAAGGCTTTCTTTCATTTATTTATTCATCCTCATGGTAGCAGTAACGATGAAGTAAAATTTGATCAGCAATAGCGATGAAGTAAAATAAGGTTGGCTTGCTCCGAGCGTGGCAAAGTTTAACGGGCTCCAGATGTGGTCTCCCAGGTGCTGCGACGTAGCCGTGACGCCAGACAACGTAGACGTTACGTATAAGAAATAACGTAGCACGGAGAAAAGGCTCATCGACAGCGCTGGACCCGAAACTTGAGGAATGTAGATACTAGAAAGGCATAGACATAATCTTGGTCAGGTTCATACAGGACTTGATAGTAAAATTAATAATCAGCAATTTCAGCAACAAAGATCTAATTAATTTCAAATCTTTAAACTGACCTGAGGTTTAAAATGCCCAGTGTTACGACTTTAGGAATATGAAATGAATGAAGAGATTAATTGATGAAATTTAAAGGAAATTAGTTAGAGGAGTAGGAAGTTGGACGGAAGAAGACAGCAAGAGTAGCTAAAGGTTTAACTGCGTGTTGAAAGAAGATCAAAGACTTAAATTAGGATTGCGCATTCCGAAACAGTGTAACCAACTGCCATCTTGAATTGCACCACCCCATTCCTGGCAATATAGAACTATTGATATTTGATAAACTTTGGTTATACTTTGAAATGATTTAAAATATTTATTGTAATTTGATTTATATTTAACATACCATACATTTAACAACTTTGATATATATTTGACATAGATTTTATTAAAATAAATTTAATATATATACATATTTGAAATAAACTTAAAATTTGTTATAGACTTGGAATATATTAGATATTAATTTGATAGAAATTAGATATAAATTGTCTTAAAAAGATACACTTAAAAATGTGTCCATCATCCCATAGGAGCAAAAATAAGCATAGTTATTGCAAACCAAAAAAAGGAAAATGACACGGCATTTGCACAAAATAAGGGACAGCGAATTAAGTTTATAGGAAGTTTGAGAAATACTTAATGAATGACGAGTACGATGCTTCTGGAGACACTGATTAGTTGACGGCACAAAACTGTAGTTCGCAGGTATCACAGAGTGACGACCACCGCTCGGAACAGCTCAATGAATCTAAGAAATCTCACGAGCTTGTTCGCCCAGTTTCGGACATTGACTTGTCCGCACAGCTGGACAAATGGCAACCGCACTGCGTCGGAAATAAATAATTCGAGATTGCATTTATTATTATGGAAGATTGTTAGGAAATAATATTTAGCTTTGAAATTAAAGAAATAATCGGTGAGAAATCACTCATATCACTCATGAGGTTATATTGCTCTCCAGTTCGTTCCTATCTCACTTTAATCTTATATATCATTTCTCTATTAATATGAACTTAAATGCATTTAGTACCATCTCTACATTATTTTTCCATGGAAAACATTTTTAAATAATCTTCGATCTGTGAATTTTTGAAATAAACTAAACCGCAAAGAAACTTGAATGACAATCTTCGTAAAGTTTCAGCCGTAGGCATCGAAGTTTCTTCTCAAATAATGAAGCGTACTTCGCCTGTTTGTTTGGTTTTATAACTACTTTTTCAACTCAACAGATCCTGCGGAATGGCCGGCCAGTCAGTGCAGACCAGCTCCAGGCCTGCTGCAGTACATATTGCTGATGAAATCTACGCGATTTACCGCAATATTGCTGGTGTGCTGTACGTGGCCCCCAAGGTCATCCGATTCATTGTCAGCAAAGAATGTGTAGACAAAAAGAGTGACGAGAGCTACAAAAAATACATGGAACGCCTAAAGGGCGAAGAATTAACTGCAAAGGAATGGAAACGTCATGACTGGTTAATCTCGAAAGACTTGAGCCACCCTGATAATTTAGACATCACTGGGTTGTTCTGTCTGCTGGAGAAACTTTCTAGGTTACATGATGAATGCTGGCAGAGAAATGAATGTTCCGATTCAAAAAATACAAGTAAAGAAGGTGGCGTAGCGATCGCTGCAGCGAGTGTGGGTAGTGGCGGTGGACAACCTGACAATAATGAGGAGGACGTGGTAACCGCTACTGCGAGTATGTTTGATGGCGGTGGACAACCTGACAATAATGAGGAGGACGTGGTAACCGNCTGACAATAATGAGGAGGACGTGGTACCCGCTACAGCGAGTATGGGTGGTGGCGGTGGACAACCTGACAATAATGAGGAGGACGTGGTACCCGCTACAGCGAGTATGGGTGGTGGCGGTGGACAACCTGACAATAATGAGGAGGACGTGGTACCCGCTACAGCGAGTATGGGTGGTGGCGGTGGGCAACCTGACAATAATGAGGAGCTTCCCCGTGAAGATACAAAGTGTCCACTTGAAAAGCTGTCTTGCTTAGATAAGAATGGCCTTCCGAGGGACTTCGAAAAACTGCTTGACAAGTTGCGTAAGGTCAAGGATTTGCGAAACAAAATAATGCACGGGTTCGAAGTAACATTGAACCATCACAAATTCAGCGATTTGGAGACTGCCCTTTCAGAGCTAATTGAAGAAGCAGAAAGGGTGTATTCACTGTCACAGTCCGAAGTTGAAGATCAGAAAAAAAATTTGCATGATGACTTCGAAAGACTGCAGACTCTGGACAAAAAGAGCATTTATTACTGGTGTACAAGATTGACTATGTCAGGAAAACTGGTCGTGAAGAACCTCTGGAGAATTAAACTAACCGAAGAGACCCTCCCGCTTGACAACAGCATTGTGCAGCGTAAGGAAGTATTTCATTCTCTCGACGTGATGGTGAGACGAGCAAGAAGTGATGGCCCTAAAGGTCAAGTTCTTCCGTACCCCGAAATTTTCAAGGCTCCTGAGAAGGCAATTATAATATCCGGTGTTGCTGGTGCCGGTAAGACTTCTCTTCTAAAAAACATCGTGCTTCAGTTTTTCGAGCTACAGGAAGGAAATGCTGATTACCTGCGACAATTTGACCAGCTCATCCTGTTTGAGTGCAGGGATCGTACCACAGAAACCCTGGCTGATGTCATCGAGCAGCACTTTGAGGATCTGTGTAGGGAATTAGAGGGTAAACGAATCGTCCTTGATGCCCTTTTACGTCTAGACGCCCTTATTGTCATCGATGGGTACGACGAAGTAAACAAAGTTTCAACCAACGTAGTGAGAGAGATCATCAAGAAGACGTCAAGCAGTAACTGCCGGGTGCTGATCACGACTCGTCCTCACAGTGCGGAGAATCTGGAAAAACTTCTTGCTACTAACGATGTCATTTCTACCGAATTCGAGATCAAGCCGCTCACTGAGCTGGTTGAGCAGTTGGAATTTTTGACAAGGTATGAGAAGGGTTTGGGAATCACAGAAGGTGAGATGACAGAAAGCTTCAAAACGCTGAATATAGATGTCAGAATTCTGTTCACCGAGCCCATCAACTTAATTCTTTTCTGCGACATGCATAAGCACATGCCTGAGACAATCTCGTCGTGGGAACAGCCCGGGGACGTGGCGAATGATATTCTACGCTTGTATAAGAAGCTTGTCACCATAAAGCTTGCTGATGTGACTCATCTTGAATGCGATGTCATGTTAGACGATCTGTTTGTTGTCATTGGTAAAGCAGCGTTGGACTTTATTCGTGAAAACGCTGTAACTTTCTCGGAAAAAGAACTGCTTCAGGTTAAACGAAAATGCATTCCAATACTGAATAACACGGTGGAGTGTAGCTCAGAAATTATCCTCTCGGTGGTGCTTAAAGTAAACAGACCACTTTCTGGGGCCGGAGAAACCACCTACACTTTCCATCACAAATCTATCCAAGAAATGTTTGCTGCTGAATTTATTGTGCAGCGCATCCTAGCCAGCAATGACAGCCTGAAGAGTATCCTGGATGCCAAGCCTGAGGAAATGAGAAGGTAATTATAAGGAGGCAGAGAGAAATACAAGTCGCTTTGAGTAACTTAGTTAACGTTATTAACAAAAAATTCCCGTCATATTCTAGCGGCAGTCAAGGACAGTAAATTTTTGCTGCACTCGTAACTGTTATAACTGACAGGAAACGTATCTTTAATTATAGGGCAAAATTTCGATGCGTTCTCTCAATCGAGTGACTGAGACACTCGACTAGGTTATACTTGTTATGGACCTATTTAACTTTATCCTTCGCAATACCATATGTGTTGAACTAATTTATGTTGATTTCAATAAGACGTTGAACACGTCGATTGTACTGCAGGAAAATATTAAGAGGAATATTGGGCCTCGTTTCTAGAAGTCTATCACAGCAGATGAACAAGAGCAAGTGGGAATAATGACAACATTGATTCAATGGTATAATACGATTACACACACTCGTATTATACCATTGCATTACTAGCTACGATTATACACCTGCATTAGATACACCTGCATTAGATACACCAGCATTACTACTCGCCTTCCTCAAATCGATTTTTTAAAACTCGCGTATACGTTTGCATTTAATAAATCTCATTTTCAATCTTTCACCTGCATCTATACTTTTGGGTTTTATTTTTCTAACAATATCAGTAGATCGTGTGATTACAATAACTTAACAGTTAACAATCGTCTTGGAGAGCCGCCAACAGTTGCGGCTGTACGTAACTCACAAACAACTCAATACGTATAACAAAACACAGAAAAGAATAACTTACATATTTCGCAGGTTATTCAACCCTTCGCGATACTCACCTTTAAAAGCCTTTACCTGAACGCTTTGCCACAGCCTGCGCGAAGTACTGCAGTACGCGGTGCAGGGCCTCAGCCGCTGCAAGCCTCGCCTCTTGGAGAGACGCTGGCCAGAGCTGGAGCAGGCGCTGCGTGACGCCGGCGTCGTCTCTGCCGCCGACTGGGAGGAGTGTCTCCGCATCTGCCCTGACGTTGAGCAGGTCGCCAAGCCTGCCGCTCTTAGCAAACTCAAAAGAAGCAAGACGTGGCATGTTGAAACAGGTTGGTGAACTTTGTACCTAATCAGACGGTTAATGGAATACGCAAATTTTGTAATTTGACTGGAAGATAATTAAACTGATAATTGTAACAATCATTTCTAGCATATTTTACCATCTTCAGCAACACCTTGAAATCGTAAGGAAAATCTGGAGACCAGTGAATTTTTTCGCATAAACCGTGATTTGCAGACGAAACGGCATTTTAAGTTAGCAGTAAACGCTCTGAAACTTCTTGGTATTCTTACAGTTTACAAAATTAGTAGTTCAAATCATGTTCATGGCCGCAGGACGCGATGTAGCGCTGGTCGCAGCTATGTTGCCATACGCACAACCTGACCTCCTGGAGGTGAACATCAAACCTGACGCCCCAAGCAAGAGGCGGTGGGCAGAACTTGTGCAGCGTCGCGTTGGGCCCGTCCTTCTTGAGCTGCAGAACCCTGCCGGTGATGAATACAAGAGCAACGACGACCTCCTCCTGCCGATGCTTGGCACAAGGTATGAACACTCTCACATTGTGTCAATACTTATTGAGCTTAAGTTCTGAAGTTTCATCTAAAAGTCAAGGTTGGTATCTTGGCTAATATGTATTACTAAACATAATGCAGCGGAAAAATTCAATCGACAAGATCTACTGAGGAACAACCGAGTGCCGACGAGACTTTATTTTTACCACACTGTGAAAAATTTCTTCAAATTTACTTTATTTAATTAATAATAATATTAACAACGTACATAGTAGAGACTTTCCCATGATCATGCAGGTAGTTATGACGAGTGTGAACATGAATGAATTCTAGAGCATTATTTTGGAATGAATTTACTCCATGAAGTCTGTGCATAAGAACCTTTGAGGGCATGCAAGATGTTTTGAGTGCATGCAAGAACCTTTGAGTGCGTACAAGAACCTTTGAGTGCATGCAAGAACCTAAGAATTTACACATCCGTTGACACCACACTGAACATTAAAATTAGGTAAATTTGCATGCTGATTAGACAAGTGCCTAAACAGCAGCGATATAAATCTTGATTCGAAGGGACACAAGCTGCAGTAATACGAGGTCGAAGTCATTTCTGAAGAGAAACTTTTCGCAAACTGTAAATTAAACAAACGAGCGTATCACTCAGATTGATTACAGGGAGATAAACGCGACCATTTGATTATTATTTGTAACATTATTTAATCGCGCGATACACATACACCACGCGCGTCCACGTGTAACGGACACTGTTCTTCAAGCTCTGCCGCCAAAAGCCGTTGAACGTACACACGCACATATCCATACGCCGATACGCGTAAAAAACTAGTCCTATTTTTCACTTCTACGTTAATTTAAAATTAGTTTTACATTCGTTTTGCTATTTATTTTGCATTTTTTTTCGAAATTGTTGACTTCATAAATATTCTAAGTAGTTTTTTTTTAACAAATACATGACAAGAACGTGCATTGCAATTACTTCATATATGATAGGGGCTGAGTTCGAATCACTTACTATCAGTCGAAACACATGCCCGAAACACGTAAGGCGCCAGAATATTCTCTCTGTGTGAACTTTCCTTTGTGGGCTCAATCACAATACATTTTGCCATAATGCAATATTTTTTTCCAATTCGTTTATCTAGTTGCACTAATTCTGTTTTTCAAGATATTTAAAATGATAGTTACTCCGAAAAGTTTCGCTATTTATCGGTAGTCTTGCCGTCATTACACTATCTCTTCCTGTTGGGCTCCAGGGTAAGGAAATTTGGCCGCGGCTGGCGGTCGTCTGGCGACCGGATACACGCAATAAAATTTAGTTCAGGCATGGGCTCGAATGCTCACTTCCTGCACACTTGACGCCTTACTGAGTATACATTCACTGTATTTTTTCTTTAAATATATATTTATTTGTTTCTATCACACTTTGCTATCGTTGATTCACCTAATTCTTCACCAAAGAAAGGCTATTTTGATTTTCAACTTCAACGTTTGATTGTTAAGTAACAATCTAGCCAAATCCGATTTTTTTTCAAAAATTGCAATATTTACGAAATTTGGAAGTATCAGCCTGGCCTGAACACATCCAACTGACTTCCACACTTCTAATGGCTTAATGAGTTCCCGGATATACCATGTTCACTTCACTAGATTCATAACACATGAGCTCTGTTTGGGAATAGCACTACCAGCTCAAAACTTTAAAACCGACGTAAATACAGCCCCGCGGCAGTAAATTTCACGCGAGCGGCTCACGTCCTTTCAGCTCATCTACCAGGAGGGAACTTCTCAACTACAATGGATTGCTGGTCCGTTACAATGGATTGCTAGTCCGTTACAATGAATTGCTGGATTATTACAATGGATTGCTGGTCCATTACAATGGATTGCTGGTCCATTACAATGGACTGTTGTTCCATTACAACGGATGCTGGTCCATTACAATGGATTGCTGGTCCATTACAATGGATTGCTGGTCCATTACAATGGACTGCTAGTCCATTAAAATGGATTGCTGATCCATTACAATGAATTGCTGGACCGTTGTATTTGACTGCTGTTCCAATACGACGGATTGCTGGTCCATTACAATGGATTGCTGGTCCATTACAATTAATTGCTGGACCTTTGCAATGGATTACTGGTCCATTACAATGGATTGCTGGTCCATTACAATAGATTACTGTTCCATTACAGTGAATTACTTATCCATTACAATGGATTGCTGGTCCATTAATATAGATTACTGGTCCATTACAATGGATTGCTGGTCCATTACAATAGATTGCTGGTACATTACAATGGATTGCTGGTCATATTCATGCTTCCCCACACCCTCCTGGGAGACAGGGTGAGGCTGGTGCACTTCGAAGGCTGCGTGGGCACCTGCGCTGGGACGGCGGCCCTCGCATCCGTTGCCCGCGGCGCTGTCCTCCGCATCCGCATGGCGGCACCCCTAGACCTCAGCGCCCTCAAGACGACATGCTGGAGGAAATATGTCCACAAGAAAAGATATAAGCTCCTCAGTGAGTCTTGTCCTACACGGGAGGCGATGCCCCTGGGCCCGTGTGCGCGGTACAATTATATATTGTATGGTCGTTATTTATTGTAATGTTGGGTGATTATTCACCAGGATAATCACCAAATAACAAATAATGACAAAAAATAAAGTAGTAGTAATTTAGTAATTTATACATGATATATTATATTATATATTATCGGTACTCTGATTTTCGATTTACCAGTGCCAACGAAAAATGTTCTTCGATCTATTGAAAAACTAATGAGAAAATTGTCAATAAAACAAATTCTCTGGTCTTAAATGAAACCTGTTTAAAGGAACAACTTTTGCCAACCTATACCAATATAATATATTATATATATCTATTCATATATATCTTGAATCACTGTTATCTGGCATCACTGTTATCTTGCATCACTTTTATCTTGTATCACTGTTATCCTCATTTTTATCTTATTTGACCTGCACAGCGGTGTACACGCGCCCCCTCCCGCCCCCTTGCCACTCTTCCCCCACGTGGCCACTGCCTCCCTCCCCCCCGCCAGAGCTGTACGTGGAGGGGGCGGATGAGGGGTCCTGGGGGGCCGTGGCCCACACCGTCACTTCCCTCGCCCCCCCTGGCAAAAGGTGCGTAGCCCCCCGACCTTCGCGGGGGGAAATAGAGTTCCATTTGCTATACATCTGATAGTTATACATCGTATAGTTATACATGGCATAGTTGTGCATTATACAGTTATCCATCGTATAGTTATACATCGTTATAGTTGGGCATCGTACCGTTATATGTACATCGAATAGTTATACATATCATAGTTATACATGGTATAGTTAGACATAGTACACTTATACATCGTATAGTTTTACATCGTATAGTTATACTCGTATATCCGGGAATGAAACTGCAGTTTCTGTGTCTGGGGGAATGACACTGTAGATTTTTTTTCTGGGGGAATGAAACTGCAGTTTGTGTGTCTGGGGAATGACACTGCAGATTATGAGTCTGAGGAATGACACTGCAGTTTGTGCGTATGGGGAATGACACTGCTGTTTGTGCGTCTGGGGAATGACACTGCAGTTTGTGCGTCTGGGGAATAACACTGCAGTTTGTGCGTCTGGGGAATGACACTGCAGTTTGTGCGTCTGGGGGGAATGACACTGCAGTTTGTGCGTCTGGGGAATAACACTGCAGTTTGTGCGTCTGGAGAATGACACTGCAGTTTGTGCGTCTGGGGAATGACACTGCAGTTTGTGCGTCTGGGGAATGACACCGCAGTTTGTATGCCCAGGTTCTTACAGCTGTGGCTGCGGGGCAGCAGGCTGAAATCTGTGGAGTTTCCGCCGCTGCTTCGGGCGCTGCACGACGCCGGCGCGCGGACGGGCGACGGGGGCGACGGAGGCAACACGCGCGCCGAGGTCTGGTGAGTGGACGGTGGCCACTGAACTGTGGGCCATTATTCTTATATCACTGAATTCTTTTTCCATATATAGACTACAATTAGAGCATGTATGTGTAATTTTTACTGATGACCGCCGCAAATGAAACAAAATGGCGGCCGATGATGATGGAGTGCCCGCTCAGATGGTGGCCAATCAGTGGACACAATGCATCATCACGACAATCATTATCATTTGACATATCATAATAATGATATGTTATCATTATTGTTAATCCTATATCTTAATCCTGAATTATTATCAATTATATGTAATTTAACTATTTATTGTGTAATTATACATGATTATATAAATTATTTGGAATAATCATAATATAGGATTAAATTAAGTATAACTTCATTATATTAAATACTACATATTAAATATTATTTATAATTTAATTGGGGATATATATATCAAAATATAATATAATCCCAATGTAATAAATAATATTATATTATATTATACTATAACTAATATTTTATATATATTATTTAATATGATCACATTATACATAATTCTTATCCTATGTTATAATTATTCCAATATATTAAATCTATAAAATTTTTCATGATTATATTGAATTAACATTTTCATGATAATCATCTTATCGTTAATATATTAATGATAAGATGATACCGCTCTGTGATTGGTGGCCATTTGTCGACCAATGATATCGCCACATAAGATGGCGGCTGCTGGCATGTCATGCAGGTTATTCACTGCCGTACTCCCACAGGAGGGGGTATGTCCGCCTCCACATCGAGGACCGCGCGCCCCCAAGGGAACCAGCGGTGCCCAGTGACGCCAAACTGCTGGCGGCATATCAAGAATACTTGCGCCTACGAAGACAATAATGTGTGTTTTGTGTGGGATTAATGAGATTTTGTGTGTTTTGTGTGGGATTAATGACGAGTGCATGTCATTCGCTTCACTGTCATTAATATATAACCTAGCTCACGGCCTAGCCAGTCCATCTGCAGTTCGATATAATTTTATATAATTATTGGTCTGTGGTTTCATTTGTAACACAATTAGTTTGATATTTTGTTGAACGAATTTTTTATTTGTGAACATAATTCTTGTATTGCTGCAGGGCAGAGCAGAGTCGCTATACCCGCTTGCTCCTCAAGTCTTGCTGGCGTCTCACCTGAATGATGGTGCCGATATGGTGAATGATGATGGTTAAGACAAAGTAAAGTAAATATGTTCTTAAATGTCAAGACTAACTGAAAATAAGTGAGGGAAGAGAGACAGAGATAGAGAAGGTGCGAGATGCTAACTGCTGGTCTCAATCCGTGGCCATGTCTGCACTTCAGAATTTATTTGCCGACTCCAGGGTATGTTCTATTATGGATTAGAATTTAGATTACGTTTAGCGGAATATCCAAAAGGGTTAATTTAAACTGATAAGTGCACTTAGGTTAACAGTGTGCGATTATCAGAGGAAATTTTACTCTTCGCTGCAAGGATCGCAATCTTTTGGCTCGTACGCTACCATATTGAATTTTTTTGTGATGTAGCAGGAAAAATCTTTGTGGGCGTTGTGGAGTATAATTTTAAATAACTATTAGCTAATTATGTTGGTATAAATCTTTCGATATATATATAAATAAATATGAACTTGTCATTCCTGAGCTTGTAAAATTGTCTGAAGTGTTGATGCTGAGATCAGGAAATGGATAGATTGCGGGATTGTCAAGAAATGAACCCGTCAATGGGCATCGCCTGTGGTGATCGTTCAAAATTGTGATGTTTCATTGCGTTTGACCGTCGATTTTTGGAAAGTCAATAATTTTCTCAAAGCAGATAAGTTTTCCAATGCCGAATGCTGAAAGGTGTGGATAATTAGACTCAAAATGAAGCTAAGTACATTGAGAAACTAGATTTACCTTTAAGCATTTCTATACATGGCTTGGACTGAATACTTAATTAATTTTACTTCTTTTGGTATTTATAATGATCAGTACGAATTCAATGTTGCCTATGTTAGAACATGTGTAGATTTATTTGAAATACTTGAAATGATTATTTGATTTTGATTTGCTTATTTGTATTTGTGTCTTGATGTGTTGTAACATCCATTTATTAGCGTTACGTTGCCATCCCTGTAGTTATAAGAGCGGAGTGAGCCTCTTATTGCTCACGTCGTCCGCCAGGGCGTTTCTCGCCACCAGTTACATTGTACGATATATATATAGTGGCATTCTTGCCACCAGTTACATTCTACGGTACATATAGTGGCATTCTCGCCACCAGTTACATTGTACGATATATATATAGTGGCATTCTTGCCACCAGTTACATTCTACGGTACATATAGTGGCATTCTCGCCGCCAGTTGCATTCTACGATATATATAGTGGCCTTTTCACCAACAGTTGAATTCTACGATATATATAGTGGCATTCTCGCCACCAGTTACATTCTACAATATATATAGTGGCATTCAAGTAAAGGCTGCTCGTTTTGTGCGTGGAATTATTATTACATGTGGGATTATTTAGACTTTCTATTTTATGTGGGATTTAATAAACCGTATATGTACAATACATGGCATCAATTATTCTAATAAACACGTGATTAAATTTGCCACACGCGTTTCATTCGCCATAGTCGCCAGGGACTCGGCGCCTGAATCGTGCTAGGGAGCATGAAATGAGATGGTCACGGTCGTGATGGTGCCATGTCCCGACCACGACACGTGCCGCCGTTCGTATTAATAGTAGTCACACGAAACAAATTATCAACATCATTCAAAATAAGAAAAAGATTTTCTCCCATCAAACCAAATTACTAATTAATAATATTCAATAATTTGCATTCTGCTACCTGGGAGGAGAAGTAAAGCGTTGTTGCCATATTGTGTTTCTCATGGATTTTCAATCATAATTTGCTTGAAAACATGATTTCCCTACAACGAAGCGAAAAACTATGTTTAAGAAAGTTCGTGAAAGTATTCGATCAAGTTGATAGTCTTCATAGTTGAATGATATTTTTGTTCTTGTATTGATGTTATACACACAAAATTACATAATATCTGATGGGTCTTACTTTGGACCCGGCAATAAAATCTCAAGGAAGAGGTTTCCACGTCCATTGTGTTTAACAAATTCAATAAAATGATAATAAACACGAACAGTGCAACGTTCCGGTCTCCGACACTGACTTTAAGATTTTTGCTTATAGTTCTGGTGCTTCCGATCTACGCATTTTGGAATCATTGTATATTTTTAAAGAGAAGCCTAGTGTAAATGCTGCCTACAGTTCTTATCCATTAGAAATTGTGAATAGATAGGAATTTCTTTATTATTCTGGGCTTTGCCTGTAAATTTAGGTTTTAACTTCTGTTGTTCTTGTTTTTTTTTCTTATGAATCCAAACTTTATTAATTTTCTGACTGTATTTGTGTTCAAGATTTATCGAACTGACGATGGTGCTGGTCTCCGAAATGTTTTCAATAGAGAAATGCTGAATTTTTGTGGAGTTTTCTTCGCTTTTAAATTTCTGATGGATAATAAAATTTCAAAAGATTCGCTGTTCACGCGTTGAAAGGTAAATTTTTGCTTTCGTCTGTCACGTTTTCGAATGAGAATTTAAAATTTAAACTTGATCGTAGAAAACCAATTCTTTAGGAAAAGTTCGTTTGTACCACACAGGCGACCTGCACCACCAGCCTGTGTCGCACCGGACAGGCGACCTGGGCCCCCAGCCTGCGCCACACCAGACAGGCGACCTGCGCCCCTCAGCCTGCGTCACACCAGACAGGAGACCTGCGCCCCAGCCTGCGTCACACCAGACAGGCGACCTGCGCCCCAGCCTGCGTCACACCAGACAGACGACCTGCGCCCCCAGCCTGCGTCACACCAGACAG